TCGTGTTCGGCAGCTAATTGAGTCTTGAAATTGGTTACCTATTTCATTCATAAACGCTCTTATAACATGTGATTTCCAACGACCACTGACTTACAGACATAACAATGTATGATTTACAGAAATATACACCTAATAATTATGTAGCGAGAGACCTTTTTGGATCAAAATTCAGGAGACGTCCAGAAAAACAAATGAACAAGAAAAATAAGGTCCTAAATCACAAAGTGTGTACAATATGAAACACATTGAAGCCACAAGTAACAGCTGTTGTAGAACAGTACAAACTCACGTAAATCATTTACTTGGTTAGTAGCTTTACTTCTTTAAGGCCGTATGGTTTTCTTTCTCGAATAAAGGCTAAATATTTATGAGGTTCCAATTTTTGATGCTTGCATGTAAAATTGTTATCTACGTGACAAAAAATAATTATACCTATACAAGGAAATTAATTTTTCAAAGCAATCAGTATTAATCGTATTAAGTAAAGGATATGTAATATCTTTAAAGGTGTAATAAAATATGTAATATCTATACATAATAATCATTAAACTTATTAAGACATTTTCGAAGTAAACATAAAACCTTATTAGAATTGGATAAATCTAACAATATAACTCCGTGGGTACAAACAAAGTTCGATTCTGCGTACAAATCTCAAAAAAAAGTCCGTACAATAAACCCGAGTACATCATTGAACAGCCAATCAATATTCAGTTCAAACTACAACCACCCTTCGTACCAAGAAAACAAAATTTAATATTGTACGACACTGCCGTTTTTCTAAGAAAAATACCCTTAGAATGACCCATTGCAATTCACCCGTCATTCTTATGTACAGGTCCGAACATTCCCGGTTCATTTAACGTGAATATTGAATCCCAGTGGGAAAAACCGCGGGATTATTTTATTACAGCACGCAACTTTGACCAGAAATTTCGGTCAATTTGTGCATAAATAAACTCAATGCGTCCCTGCTTCCCGACATCCAGTTTCGATTGCCAAAAGTTTTTTTGCAACTCCCAGTTGGAAGGGAGTAAATAAATGAGGATTTTAATCAATATTTACAAGATTTAGTTGTTTAGTTGCCGCGAATGGCAGGCGACGAAGCATTAGGGGAATTGGAGTATAGTGTAGGGAGTAGGGAGTTGTCGATAGAATTTTCTAGATGTTTGTTAAGTTATTTATGGATGTACTGCGTTTCGTTTTTAGTTGAAGTTTAAAGTCTGATTGTATTAGCGCTTCTAGTAAGTAGACTTGAAGCTAGAATTAATTATTCATTTGTTTGATTTTTCTAGAAGATTAATCGATGACACCTATAGTACACGCATTTTTATCTTTTTCTGATACATAAATATCTCGATGGTTAATATTTTATTCTAAGTTGAGATTATAAAAGATTACATTAAAAACATTTATACATTCATACTCGGATGTAATACTAAATTTAGATATCGTTGCAGTACATTAATTCGCGCCTACCTCCCATCAATGTCTTCAGCACCATTAAACATTTCAGATGTATGGTATCTAACCGTAGATACTACTTCTTTGCGATTCTTTATAAAGAATACATTATAAGTTCTATTGTAAAATATTATATAGGAACAAAGTAGTAAAAAAATTAGGAAATGAGCTCGTAGAAATGGGTTAAAAAATTGATTAGTTACTTGGAAACTTACTTTTTGCCTGGCTAGCCAGACTTAATCAATCAGTGAAAGTTTCACCCTATTACATGGGACTCATAATATAAATAGTGAAAAGTAGGTGTTACATTATACAGTGGCATTAAGTGCCGTAATGTGCACCTCTGCCTACCCCTTCGGGGATAAAAGGCGTGATGTTATATGAAAGTTACACTGGGTACAAATGTATGTGATATGGATTAAATAAGTAATCACAATTCTTCTCTAAATTCTTTGAATGAAAATCTCCAAGACTTACAATCTTATACACTGCCAGTAAGTCAATAACCTCACACAGATTTTCATATAACTATCCTTACTCTACACACATTAAGGTTGACTTTCCCAAATCATTGACATTTAAAATATAACTACGCTACCCACAAACTAACAAACAGTATCGCAAAGATATCGTCAACATTGTCCCTTTGAAAGCCCGTTAACTGTTTCGAAGTCGGTTCGAGTCCTGAGTCGAGAACTTGTCGAAACTTTGTAAGCTGGTGATAAGAGATATATACAGTTGATCTTATATTATTGTCAGTTTGTAACAAGTTTGTTTGTCTGTTTGTTCGTGCTTTTAATTAAATGCAGTAACTATATTGTAAAGATGTTGTCTCGTGTTAACCTCTTTTGTGCTTGGCAACTTTGTAAGAAAATAAAGAAGGTGTAAGAAGGTGTATAGTAGATTGTATGAAGTAGTTTAATGATATGTTTTGAAGTCATATTTTTTCATGTTCGGAATCTGTATAATTAAATGCTTCATTGGCGGTCTATATTGATAATGTATGTTATAAAATTAGAGACAATTTTGGATATACAAAAAAAAACTAATAATCTATCGATCTATTTATATAAAAGTATTTTATCAGTAGATTAGGTTGTTAGAAAAATCTACATGAACAAAAAGAACTCGTAATTGCCTGGTTAAGTAACATAGAAAAAGAAAGAACACAATATCGGTCTCATATCATTACAATAATACAGCTAAAATATCAAATAAAAGTCTAACATGACTGCTGAACATGAGATCATTAAAATAAATCCATTTTTATTGGTTACTATAACTCTAAGTTAGCGTAGATGTACCCTGTAGCATTAACACGTAGTTAGTTGATTTAGAACGACGTAGCACTCTCGTAGCGGCCTCGTAGCACTTTCGTAGCAATGTTCGTAGCACTTTACAAATATACGCGTATAAAAATTTATTTTGCTATATTATCTGTATTATTCAGCTGTGATACGTTATAATACTTATTTGGATTTGTATTCTTGTGACAGTTTATGAATACAATTATGAGTTTAACCAGGCTGTATGTTAATATTTTATTAGTGTTGTGCGCCACCTGGGGGCCGAGCTACAACATAGATGTTTATGCTACCGTTCTAGTGTTATTTCAATATGTATAGTATATCAATGTTAGTCTAATAATATTGTTTACATTTACTTTAATTTGTATTTTCAAAAATGATGCTTACGTACGTATGTACGTAACGTACGTACGTACGTTGAGTATTCAAATGTTCAAATCGAGGTCACAAAATAGTTTACACATTAATGACGTTACCATGACTTACATTAGTATTTTACTCCAATCAATCGCTTTAAATAACTATCACAAATATAGAAGTCAACTTTTCATCCCCACCTAATCATTAAAAAAGCACAATGTCTTTAATCCTGAATTATCACTAGATCTCAATAAAAAACACCAACAATATCATTATCAAAAGGCGTCAAGGAAGTAGCCAAAATAAAAAACAAGTACCCTTGAGTCAGTTTCGTCAGTTAAGGCGGTAATATGTAAGAGATAGGGGCGGCAAAGCCTTTGTTCGCACGTGATCAAGGGCTAGTGAGGGTTTCGAGTACCCTTCGCTAGTGATGACGAGATCACATGGACCTTGAGGAGCTGAGGAGAAGGATATGATATTGTTGATAGGCTGGTCTTAATTAGGGTTGTGAGTGTATGTTTTTTGGGAAGAGAGATTCGTGAGTTTTTGAGGTTGTTTTATTATTTATTTTAGTTACATCTACTTTAGTTAGTGATAGTTATTAGAGCCTTAATAGGGAGTTTATTTCTACATAGTTTATTTATTCATGACTTGATAATATCTTAAACAAAACTTAATATTCATACTATCTACATCAACAAACACAAAAATGAAAAATTAATGTTCTCATAAATTGTAATTATAACTTTGTTTCACCAGCAAATTAATTACTCGAACAATACAAAAACAACCTTAATAATTACGAAATAAAACATTATTTCGGACAGTGAACATAAAACAAAAGTTAGGCCCTTTATTTAATTAGAAAAACTCTCATATAATTACTAGTACAAAAAGGACATAAATTGGGTAATTTTACAGAAATGCACGTTTTGTTTTGGGGCAGTGTAAAGTCAGTTCTATTTAGTTAGAATAAGGTTTGATTTTGGTGGCAAAATAGTAATATGTTCTAATATTCAAACCAAAATATCCATTAACACCTTAATAGACAAAGCTATATACTATTTTATAACAAATTGTACCTGTGACCATTACCTAAGTTATATTTTGTTATGATACCGATTTCTTACCTATCATTAGATGGGAAACCTATATACGTAAGTATGACTAATAATAGTTATGTTTTGTCTTTGTGGTTTTAAGTTTTAAGTCAGTTATTTAAACGCAGTTTTTTATACATATATGTATAATATCTGGAAGTAAAAAGAAGGTAGGTACTGCTAGCTCTTAATTAAACAAAGGTGTGTTTGGAAACTCATCAACCCTGCATTAACCTGAAAGTAATTAACCCTTCATTTAATTAGGTTAAACTTCTTTTGAGTAACACTCCGAATACTAAGCTGACGTGCAACTCAATTTTAATCAAACTTTTTTGACCGACGGCGACGTTTCGTAAAAAGTTACATTGGATACGATATACATACGTATCTGGACATCCGAACTCATATAAAACATTACACCCAGATTTCACCAATAATGTTATAAGTCTCCTGTCCTTGTTACTTAAAAAAATCTTCAATAATAGTTCAAAATCTCGAACAGTATCTATTATTAACCTCGTACCTAGGTATACTCAATTAAATCTAATCAATACTTAAGTTCACTCAATATACAAAAAGCACTACAATCTAATAAATATTTCAATTAAAATAAATTTGTCCGTTTGTCAAAACAGACCCCTATCCAGGACAGATCATTGAGGCTGCTAAAATATTAGCTCAGCACTGTTCAGTGTTCAGTGACAAAAACATTTCCAGAAGTTCGGAGTCTTCTGGCAAACAGACAGTTAATGTAAGTATTTAACGAACTGTTAGTAGGCCGACCCCGTTTGTCCCTTTTTAGAATAAAAGACAATGTTCTACGGAACCACTTTAATATGTTTACCACAACCACATATAGTTTTAGTGTAAACTTGAAGAAATGTCTCTATAATGTCTCTCTTAATACTCAGATTACTCAGAGCACAATAGATAGTGTGACGGCGTCCAGAATCTAACTGATTTTTATTTCATTATATTAATTCCATGCATTAGACGGAAATGCAGTATCAGCAAAGTGCGATGGAAATGTACTTTATATTTGTAAAGGCTGACTTAGGCTTTACCGCTTTGTAATAAGGTTTATAACAGCTCCCCCTCTTAAACGAAGCTTTATCTCGTTAAGATGAAGCGCAGTTTTACAATGTTGAAGATGTAAGCATTAAGGGAGACATTTAACACATTTTACAAAATAGTAATTAATAATTAAGTTACATTAAGTACCCAAATAAAATAATATACTAATTAAAAAGGTTTACATTATCTTAAAAGTTAAGGTTTCTGTTTGATGAAAATCTGACTTTATTAACTTTACTAGTAGATTTATAATTTGGATATGAGACAGGCAAAGACTGAACAGACTTATTGTCTTCTTCAGTGGAGGAAGACACTTCCGTCATCTCAATGCTATTTGAAAAGTTAGATTTACGTTTAGATTTTTGATTATAACATTGATTAAAGATTTTCACACAACATCCACCGTTGGAAGAGTGTTTACTCTTAAAACATTTATATAATTTATAAGCTATATATAAAATTAAACACACAATTAAAATGTAAGTAAATGTAGAGTAGTAAGGACCATATTTAATAAAATGAGATTCCTTTTCCAAATTGTTCAGTTCCTGTTCTAGGTTATCCATCTGATGTGTTGCATATTTGAGAGAATCTAAGTTAATTTTACTCAAAGAGATTGGCGACAACTGCGGTAAACTTTTATTAAATATGTCCTTCTTACAACAATCATCTGTTGTTATATCAAATCTTATATCTAAAGGAGACTTAGTAATTAAAGAATAAGAACTAGTAGGTATTAACTGAATTGTTTTTGAATATCCAATACAATTAGGTGACAATTTTACAATTCCTGTACCAGTGATTGAATGATCATCAATATTTTCATCACACTTAATAGTCAATTTATTTGTATTTGATTGAACATATATCCATTTGTTATTTCTTAATTTTTGCCAAATATCAATTTGACCATACAATAATTTAGCATCACATTCTGTAGGTAATGACAACGTTACTTCAGTTAAGATTTTAGATTCACAATTAGGGTTTGTTATACATGAGTATATAGTATTTAGTTCACAGATAGAAAGATTATTATTAATCATTTTACATTTATCGAGAGTGTCCAACATAGCATAATGTAATCTGTCATCACTTAATGCAATATAAGAATTAGAAGGTTGAATCAAAGCATATGTATTATGTGAGTCATCATGAGGTGTAGGTAACGGTATGTTTTTATAGGCCATGAACCTATCAGGAGTGATTAGCGGGATTCGTAATATAAAAATAACCTTATTATTATAGTAATAAGAACTGAATTCAGAAACATCAATTATAGAATGAATATTTTGAATCGATAAAGAAACAGGGAAATCTAACCTTTTGTTTATTTGGCTACTATGCCTACTTAATTCTAAATAAAGATTTAAAGGACTTATAACACTAGGATGTAGTACATTAACCTTAGAGAATAAAATAGAGTTTAGAGTAGTATCTAGTATATTAGAAATAGCGAGTAAAGAGCCTTCGATAATATTAAGAAGGTTGTTTAACTTTGAGGTGTATAATAATAAGTTATCTGTTTTGGTAATTTGAGAGAATATTTTGTTCATCTGATTAATTTGGGCATTTAATTTAATCTCGTTTTGATTAAGTTTGTAAATAGTAGTGTTGAAATTATTTATAGTGGATTTGACAATGTGAATGTTATCTCTCATTAAATGAAACATTTCTGTTTCACTCTTTTTACATGACTCTATTGCAGCGTCATATTTTCGGGCGTCATCTGCATCTAAGGTGCCGAAAAAGAACTTTAAGATTTCGCCTCCAAATTCTAAAGATCTCTTAACTTTATTTGTTGATTGATTTGAAATGATATACGATAATGATTGCAGTTTGATAGAATTAGACTGTAATAAGACTTCGATAGGGCTAGACATGTCTTTGCATGTGCTATCCTCTTTAGGTACAATTTTGTCGCACAATGTTAGAGTATCTTGAAGCAGAGATTCGATTTTATTAAGATAAGGTTCTAAAGAAATTAAGTCTACGTGGGTGATTACTTTCCAATGATCAGTGTAAAAATTAATATTGGTTGTAGGTTCAAAGTAAATCCCGGGGCTATGATAGATCGGGATGATGCTTGATTCCTGATTGAGGCATGTAGTGCTGCGGTAGCACATTATTCTGAAAATAAATATAGTAAATAGGTTAGGATGTGGCAGGTTTAATTTCGTTGGTATGGTATTTAACAGCCCTGCGGCCTATTTGTAAGGTTACGTTATTTTTATTGTGTACTTTCATAATTTTGTAAGGGCCTTTCCATATAGGCGATAAGGCCTTACGAAGCCTGTGATGATGTTTAAGATAAACCATATCTCCTACTTTGTAAGTAATCTCACGGGAGTTTGCATCATAATATTTTTTTGACTTTTCTTTACTATTTAGAATGTTTTGAATGGCTTTCTCGCGACTATAACGCATTCTATACTGTAGAGCCCGAATATATTCATTGTATGTGTTGCCAGGACTTGCATATAACGAGGTTGGAATGCTTGGTTTGTAACCATATAATAACTCGTAGGGAGTAAAGTTAGTAGTAGTATGGGGAGTAGTATTATAAGCTAAGATTGCAGTGAATAAATAACAGTCCCAGTCATTTTGGTTTTCGTTAACAAAAGCTTTTAAGTATTCTTTTAGAGTGGCATGTGAGCGCTCAAGGGCTCCATTGGTTTGTGGATGATACGGGGTAGTGAAAAGTGCTTTGACCTTTAGTATTGTGGTTAATTGTTTAAATAATTCAGACGTGAAACAAGTACCTAAGTCTGTTAGGATGGTTTTAGGAAAACCGAAAAGAGACATGAAATGAACAAAATTTCTAGCTATCTCCTCACTAGTGGCCGTGACCATTGGGTAAGCGCTAGTGAATTTAGTTAAGTCGTCTTGTAAGGTTAAGATGAATTTATAGTTTCGGGAACCCGCATCGGGTAAAGGACCTACGACATCGAGTGCCAATCTTTCGAAGGGCCTGGTAGATGTGGAAGTTATCTCCATCGGAGCTTTATTTGACTTCCTTAAAGGCTTATTAATTTGGCAAAGTTTGCATTTCTTAACGTATTGCTCGATGTCGGACCGCATGCCTTTCCAATAATATGCAGATTTAATACGCGAATACATTCGTTGTGACCCTGGGTGACCGGCTATAACAGAGTCGTGATTTTCTTTTAATATTTTAGGAATTTCTACCGGAGTAGGATAGATTAATCGGTTTTTATATATGTGGACTTTAATATTCGTGTCATGAAAAATATAGGAAATCATATTATAGATTTTAGTATAAGTGAGTTTTGAAAATGGATCAATGAAATCTGGTAATGCAAGGTTAGTAATATTTTGGTTATCAATTAGTAAGTTTCTAAGTTTGATTAGTAAGTTATAAACATCTCTATAATTAGTTTCTTCATAATGATTAACCTTTGTATATAGAAAATAGTAAGTTTTATTTTTATCATTAACGCATTTTATTGTAAGTGGTTCACGCTCGGAATTTAGTAAATCGGCAGAATTATCGAGCTGCGATAGTATTTCCTCGCAATGAGGCATAGAATAGTCAAAGTCTAAAGAGACCGGACAAGCAATTATATTTAACTTGGTTGAGTGTAATCCTTGGATACATTCTTCTATGATAGTATTTGAGACTGGCAGTTGTTTTGTAAATTGAGCTTTAAAGTATTGTTCATAAGAAAGGTTATTTAAATTGTTTACGTCAATAGCATTTACGGGGCAGCGTGATAGCGCATCGGCGTTGGAATTGAGTCGACCTTGTTTATAAACAATTTCATAGTCATACTCCTCAAGTTTGAGGCGCCAGCGAATGAGTCTACTACCCGGATCTTTTACGTTAAATAGCCACACGAGGGGTCTATGATCGGTAATTATTTTAAACTTGTTACCATATAAATATGGCCTGAATGTTTTTACAGCGAATATTATAGCTAGTAGCTCTTTTTCCGTAGTTGAATAATTGCCTTCAGGTTTATTTAGTGTGCGCGACGCGTAAGCTATCGGCTTATCTTTGCCGACGGGACCTTGAGACAATACTGCGCCAACTGCATAATTGCTTGCATCAGTAGTTACATTAAAAGGCTGTGAAAAGTCGGGGTACTGTAGAAGAGGGGCAGTAATTAGTTTTTCTTTTAGAATATCGAATGCATGTTGTTGTTCTGTATCCCAGTGGAATACAGCATCTTTTTTTAATAGAGACGTAAGTGGTTTAGTTAACTTAGAGAAGTTTTCAATGAATCTGCGATAGTAGCCTATAAGGCCTAGAAATGACTTAATGTTTTTAGGATTCTTAGGTACTGGAAATTGCGATACAGCGCTGACTTTTTCTGGATTAGGAGAGACACCCTTATCGGTGATAATATGGCCAAGGTAAGTTACTTCATGTCTTAGGAACTCACATTTGTCCGGTTGGAGCTTTAAATTATACTCACGAAATTTATTAAAAACCGTTTTTAATTTGTCTATATGGTCTTGTAGATTCTGACTATAGACTATACAATCATCAAGGTACACATAGCAATGTAGACCTTGTAGACCTGATAGTACAGTATTCATAAGACGTTGGAATGTGGCAGGGGCATTTTTCAACCCAAAAGGCATCCTAGTAAATTCATAGTGACCGGACATGTCAGAATTAGTGCTAATTGTGAAGCCAGTTTTAGGCATATCCTTGGGACAAGTTTTCAATTGATGGAAGCCACTGGCAAGGTCCAGGGTACTGAAGTATTTGGAATGACCTAATTGGTCTAGAATATCAGTGATAAGAGGTAGTGGATAAGTTTCGGAAACGGTGACATCATTAAGGCGGCGATAATCAATAACTATCCTCCACTTTTGTTTGCCAGAAGCGTCCAATTTTTTCGGAACTACCCAAACTGGGGCGCTCCAAGGCGAAATTGAGGGTTGTATAATATTTTGGTCCAGCATTTTGCGAATCTGAGAATCGACTTCCTGTTTGTGACATTCGGGGAAGCGATATGATTTAACATTAATAGGTGGTGCATCGCCTGTGTTAATAGTATGCTCGATAGCATTAGTATATGTTAAGGGTTCACCTTCAATATGAAAAATGTCTGTATAGTGGGAACAGCATTCTAAAAGAGCCTTTCTCTCTTCATCATTGAGATGAGAGCTACGGATGAGATTTAGTACTTTACTTATACGGTCAGCTTTTGAACAAGAGGTGGCATTAATATTGTAACAGTTTATAATTGAATAATCAAGTTCAAGAGGCGTTGCTGTGACGTGATAATCTTTTAATTCAATGTCAAAATTTGTAGTATTTAAAATAGTCACGTTTGTTTTACCATTCGGTTTAATTGAGACCATGCAATTAGCGACATAAACGCCTTCGGATAAGACGTGATCTAGTACAAGAGCTTCATTGTTATGATAAAGCTTAGGAGAGTAATTTGATACAGTACACTCGACGACAACTTCGGATCGAGCTGGAATATTGTACGAAGGTTGAGTATAGATAATGGGAATAGAATGATTTAATATAGAAATTGATTTTGAAGAATAATCGATGTTTGTTTTAAAATAGCTGCAAAAGTCACTACCAATTATTCCATCATAATTAGGAAGGTTTATGTCATCTTTAGTCACGTGAAACTTGTATTTATGTATGTTTCCTGATAAATTGAACTCCATTTGAAAAGTACCTAAAGTTTCGACTGGACTTTCTGAACTGTTAATACCTTTTAATTTTACAGTTTCAGTAGATAGGCTGGGATGATTCAATAAACAGGATTCTTTAACAATACTTATAGTTGATCCAGTATCAATAAGGAAACATAACTTTTCGTGAGCATGGTTGGTATGAAGATAAGTATGAGGTAAGGCTACCTTTTTGCAATAGTCATTAATTTCGTATATAGGTTTAGGATTATCACTATGTGTAGATGCATTCAGTTTAATTGACTGAGATGAAGATTTAGTAGGACTCATCTCTTTTGGATGAGATGCAAAATTAGTAGAACTCATCTCTTTTGGATGAGATGCAAATTTAGTAGAACTCATCTCTTTTGGATGAGGTGTGAAATTAGTAGAACTCATCTCTTTTGGATGAGGTGTGAAATTAGTAGAACTCATCTCTTTTGGATGAGATGTGAATTTAGTAGAACTCATCTCTTTTGGATGAGATGCAAAATTAGTAGAACTCATCTCCTTTGGATGAGATGCAAAATTAGTAGAACTCATCTCTTTTGGATGAGATGCGAAATTAGTAGAACTCATCTCTTTAGGATGAGATGTAAAATTAGTAGATCTCATTTTTATTTTTTTATGACATCCGAATTTAGTAGATTTAGCAGGTGTCGTGTCATTTAGCACTTTGTTTGATTTTGGCAGACACGATACCAAAATCTTATTTAGTTTAAATTATTATCGTCATTAATTATGGCCATATTGTCACACGTGTGTGTAAATGCGTCATTCGAGGTCGTAGGTGCCGAGTTACGGTCACGTTGTGCATTGTCAGCGGCTTGCCGTTGTCTCATGTTATATTGAAGCTTGCGACATTCTTTAATCGTGTGACCAATATTTTTGCAATAATTACATGTTTTAGGATTATTGTTAAAATTAGTATTAGAACTGGGAAGGGATGCATTGCTATAAATTTTTGAATCGCGGTCACGCTTTTTATTCTTAAAGCATTCAGATGAACTATGACCCGGTTTATTGCAGGAGGAACAATGTTTGTAGGTTTTTAAATTAGATCTGGATAGATTATGTAGTTTTTCTTCGTCGATAGCATATTGTATTGCTTCATTTAGGTGAGAAGGGTTTTTGCAACGGACAATGGTTGATATTGAAGGGTTTAACCCTAACATAAAGGTGTTTAATGCAAGGTCTTCCATAGCTGCAATTCTGCCAAGCAATTCTTTATCATTTTTACAGCTATAGTGAATATCGGACTGTATACGGGTTAATATTGACTCTACCCTTAAAGAAAATTTGGTAACATCCTCATCAGATAATTGCTTACAGTGTTGCAGATCGGATAGTAGATGCGTGGCATGCTTTTTCTCACCGAAAGTAGCTTTTAGGAAGCTCTTTAAGTCTGGCCATGATGTAAACGACTTGAGACTACATGCTACTTGTGCTTTACCCTCTAACTGAGATATTATATATTTGCAAAGCACAGTCTGTTGGTCTGAATTAGCCAGTGACATAGCATTCTCACAGTTTGTGAGAAATGCGGGGAGTGTTTCCCTGTCACCATTGTAAGGTTTAATAAATTTTGTTAAAACTGACAAGGTTATTTTGTCGGACATTTCTTTTGGGTTAGGTTTCGATTCTCCCTTAATAGACATAAAAGATTATGATATGTTGGACAAAATTAAGTAAATAGTATGATATTTTATAATAAGTATTTAAACAAAATAATGTTAGGACAGGTAAAATAACTAAATTTAGTGAAAATAGAATATAGTAATAAGTGATTTAGAATAATGGTATCAGATCCAGAGACACGAATTCAGAGACACTTTGCACCAGTAACTGATAATTCACAAGAAACACTCACAGTATCACGATAGCTGCCGCTGGTACCTGCATCATCGGGTGCGCAGTAGAAACCCGAAGTCCGGAGTCACGTGGCGCTGGCACGTTGCAGTCGTAAGTTGGGCAGTCACTCGGTTGATTGACTGTGGAATTTCTTGAATTTGATGGTTGATGAGTTAGACCTGGAGTTTATGATGTCGTTGATGCCGTCTAGAGCGGACTCACACTACACCGTGGAGGCCGTATGTCTTCCAAGTGTCGATGTGGCTGGAGCGGGCTCAAGCTAAAGAGCTGAGGCTGACCGTCGTCCAAATATTGATGTGGCTGGAGCGGGCTCAGGCTGAAGAGCTGAGGCTGACCGTCGTCCAAGTAGTGACGCAGGCTTGATCTTGGGTCAAGTCTTACTGTCGATCAATTATACGGGTGATGGCTGTAGGTTTAGGATGTCAGCGTCTATTTGACTCAACGTCGTAAGACTTCGTCTCTGACAATCCCACTTCTGACACCAATTTGTTAGTAGGCCGACCCCGTTTGTCCTTTTTTAGAATAAAAGACAATGTTCTACGGAACCACTTTAATATGTTTACCACAACCACATATAGTTTTAGTGTAAACTTGAAGAAATGTCTCTATAATGTCTCTCTTAATACTCAGATTACTCAGAGCACAATAGATAGTGTGACGGCGTCCAGAATCTAACTGATTTTTATTTCATTATATTAATTCCATGCATTAGACGGAAATGCAGTATCAGCAAAGTGCGATGGAAATGTACTTTATATTTGTAAAGGCTGACTTAGGCTTTACCGCTTTGTAATAAGGTTTATAACAGAACGATAGCCTGTCGCTAAATTAAATTAGGTAGCCATTTTGTGCTTTGTCGTGTTTAAACTGTCAAATACCAAGCGGTCACCGGTGACCGCAACCTATTGTTCTATAATTGTGTCTGCAAAACCGGTACTCGACGAGTTAAGTAAAATATTAGCAACGGAAATACACAAAAAGAGTAATGTTTTCATTCTATGTTTTATACAAATGAAAATATGTTAGAGACAATGCTTTAGGATATTGATAATATTCACTCGATAGCTACGTGTTTTACCCAATCATCGTTGTTTAGTAAATAAAACAAATCTATTTAAGCATATCTTCAACACTGATATCCCAAAAATCACGAAATACTATATACATTTAGTAGTAAAAAATTTAAAGTAGTGTTTATTCCTGTAGTCCGGACAGCCGAACTATAGGAATAAGTGCAGCTCTAAATAAAACAAATTAAATAGGAAAATAAAACACAATTAGAGTCGCGCAACAGAGCCGGGTTTAGGCGAGCCATATTATAAAACGAGAAACAGCGACGGGAACGTTTCGGCTTGCCTCATTAAATGCAAATTTCCGTATATTAATAATGAGTTAGGTCAATAAAGCTGGGTTCAGACACGAACAGTAACACTGGAAGCAAGTACTAATTCCATTTTAAAGCACCAGTAACTTTAAATATTTTTTAACAATTTTCTGTCTTACCATTATTGCTATTTCATGCAAAATAGATAATTACGGAATCCCATATTTACTAAAACCATATTCAAATGAATATTTAGGTTACCATGATTATGCTAAATGAGATTTTAATGGAGCGGCTGCATGGGTTTTCGCGCGACTTGTAAAGGAGTGCGGTGATCCGTAGAAATTGTGGTACGAGTATTAAAATAAATGGGGTTTAATAAACAATTTCGCGTCATTTAAGAAGGGTGGTTAAAGATTTCGTTTAATGCTGAAGATGAAATTAATATAAACTGTGGTTTATACAAAACACGCTTTCAAAATTAAATATTAAATAAAATACAATGCACACAGCGAGATTATAAACGAGCATCTTCTACAAAAAACAAAGACTACTTACTAGCTACAAGCCTCGACAACTTCCCTCTGAACTGGGCTTAGCATGGAACACGTTGAAACTCAAACATACCTCGATACGAGGCCTTGTTATTATAATAGCGGTATTAAACACTATTATTTCAAAATTCGCAATTCGTGAAGCCTGTTTAGTCCGCGGACATGCGATTTTGAGTAAAAAATTAATAGTACCCCGTTTGTAGGAAATGGGAGCGTTTATTATCATTCATTTTGTGTGGAATGGCTATAAATTACATATTTTATTCGGAAAATGTTTAAGGCCCGGAATTTTCGGTAAAGCCTTGGATTTTGTCGAACCAACTATGCGAAAGCTATGAATTGTTAAGTTTTAGATTAAGGAACGCGAACTTTAATTTGAAACTTTCAAATTCTTATTTGAATTAAGTAGTTTTGCTTGTTAGTTTTTTATTAATTGATAAAATGGGCGATGAAAAACAAGTACTTTTAAAATACAGAAGCTAGTATTTATATATAGCTCGCAACATAGAGCTCTCTTCACACGACAAAAGCCCATAAAACTTTCATCGAATAATACATAACATCACACCTTTTATCCCCGCAGGGTTAGGCAGAGGTGCACATTATGGCACTGCCACTGTACAATGTAACACCCATTTTTCACTATTTACTTTATGAGTCCCATGTAATAGAGAGTGAGCCTATTGCCATATACCAGGCACAATTCTAATCTAATATTAAAAAAAACCAGTAATACTTTGCCTGACAGTCACAATTGCAACCACTCGACCAACCCAGTCATCAAATAATCACCTCATAAAAACAACATCAGTTGCTTCCAACAGAAAGAGTTGACCTACTCACCCAAAAATTCGAACAGCTGACTTTTTCACACACATGTAAGTAACCCCTTAACATATAGCCGCACCCTCTCACCGACCGAACAAAGCCAACATTCATCCCTTTTATAAAAAAACCTATACAAATCACATGATATAAACATAAGGCGAATTGTTCCCCGAAGGGGAGAAAGAAGTATCAATATGAAACCTTCTTGTTTATGGAATAGGAGGCAAACGAGCAGACAGATCACCTGATGGTAAGTGATTCACCAATTATAACACTCACCCATTTAATAAAGAATAGGCTTATTGCCATGAATTAGGTACAAAACATTAGCAAAATAAATTACTATTAAAAGCTGTCGCCATTCATCATCTCTTTCTTCTTACTTTTATCCCAAGTAACTTAGAGAATATAATATGTCTATTCCATTGTTTCCTATCAAACCTCATTCTATCACAAACTCTTTTCTCTTGCAAATTCATTCATATACACGTCAGAGTAACACATAAACCATAAGTTTCAAATCAAGCTCTTACACAGTAAACATCGGTACAGAAACTCGCAAATCCAGCCAAAAGTATTGAAAACAAAATAAAGCGACCGTTTCCTAAATCGCGGTACAAACGCCATTGTACCGTTCGTTATTTATTTATACCCACAAACAGGTGTGCTTCATGAAAAAAGGCTTAGCTACCTGTAGCGGACGGGCTGCGATCAATGTTCTTGATTTAGATGCTATGTTGAATTTTTGCGGGATTTTTTTTTTCGCTTTTTTATGATGTGTGAAAAGAATGATGTATGTCTTTGGGGATTAGGAATTTGAAAATGGTTGAACCCCTATTAATAATTGGGCGTCTGGTATAATACAAATTACAACTGAGTTTCATTTTAAACACTAGCTACTACTTTCGTAAAATATTCAAATTAACTTACGAGCATTCATTTAAGTAATACGTAATTCAACTTTAAAAACAAGAAATTTATAGTCTATGACATAATTTAAGTACTACAAACAAACTACAATTTACAACACTATTACTAAAAACCTCATTCCAGTCAAAAACGCAACTTTAGCCCACAATTTCACTCTTCGCAAACTATTCCGCCGATTTCTAGATCGCGTGTGTTTAGGCGATAAATATGATGTAAATTATTTAGTAAAATCTAGAAATAACTCTTGTATTAATTAGTAGAGTTAAATATGGTTAATTTATGCATATTTTCGCGAAGGAAGCATGTAAGAACGGGCTAAAATATGACCGCTTCTAAACTGTCCCTGTACGAATGAATGGAAATTCATGTTCCTCGCTTTATTTTGTGTCGGAGGGATTTTTGTGTAGGTGTGTAAATAGTTTTGATACATATTTATGATGGGATATATGTTATATGAATCGTTGTGAAAGGTAAATTGGGGAAATGTCCGTTAAGAAACTGAATGAAAAATCATAACTTTCGAAGTAATTTTCAGTGAATAAAATCTTTAACAATAAATATTATCTCATCGTATCAAGCCTTAAGCTTTCGGTAATTTTTGTTTTATTCGTTTATACTATGTTACACACAGTGTCTTAGTTTTTACTATTTTTCCTGTCGAAGGACAGCAGGAAAGGATTCCTATGGGAATATGTAGCACCTATATACCTCCAATTTATTTGTAAATGTGTTCTCCTGTGTCTGTGTGCATAAATTTATGAATAAATCTATTTTTTCATTTCAAACACCACAAAAAACAACAGCTTACAAAACTCCAAAGAATGACAATAGCCACGCAATTTCATCATCAAAAAAGAAAAACTATAGTAACAATTTTAACCGCAAAAAACAAAAGAGCGTTGAATACCGAGTGAGTACAGAGACCAGAGCTCTGAGCTTAATAGGTGTCCCATTTTACCCCGGAATGTGTCCAATATCGCCATATGACCTCACCTCAAGGGTCACGGCCCTTCGCCCTTTATTTATATTCGCTGGAAGGGCACGCTTTTATGGAATATCGGCGTTATGGCGATTCCCCGTGCCTTTTGAGTGGTCCGCCATTGAAGCTGCAAAAAGGCGAATTTGAAATTGCGCCTTTTTTGCAGCTGTAGGGTCTGATTGAAATGAATGTGTATTGCTATTGGGTGTAATCTAGATCAAAGAGAACGAAGTTCTTAAAGGTTTCAATATTTATTTTTCCGATTTCTTCTGACTGCTTCTTTGGTATTGTATTTGGTAGTACGACTTGGTAGTGATGGGTCCTATTCCAGGGTCAGACAAAATGTTATTTTATTTTAAATAATTTCATTTCAAATACAGTACATTTTTCTTCAATAAACAAAATACTTTCTTTAAGACAAAATCTTTACTAGTCACTTCACAATCCAACAAGATCTCTTCAGTAAATATCGTAATTAATAAATATCTTCCTTTTATCACTTTTCAATATAAATTCCAGAGCTAGTTGAAGGGAAGTCGGACTAGATTCGCTTGTTCCAAACAATTTGATTCGAAGAATTTGTACTGGAAGGCGACCTGCCGGTTCAAGCATAGTTGGCTCACAGTTACGTTACTACGCAATAATAAATTAGTATTTCATACTGGATTGGGGACTTTTAAGGAGTCATATGTAACTGTTTACCTCTAGTTATCTATGCAAAGCAAATCTCAGTAGTAGCACGGAGTCTGGAAATGTGCCATATACCTATGGCAATAGGCTCAACTCCTGTTACATGGGACTCATAACATAAATAGTGAAAAGTGGGTGTTACTTCTGTGTGCACCTCTGCCTACCCCTTCGGGGATAAAAGGCGTAATGTTATGTTATGTTATCCATGCACTCTGAAGTAAGAAATCCACATATTAAATGTAGCACAGTTTTCGCAAGTTATAATTTGATATTATGTAACACGAGATGAGTCTATTGACAAACGTCGACCATGATTCCATTTCCCACAGATCAAACTAAAGACTAAATAGGCTACGAGTGAAACAGCTCCCCAAAAACATTCATAACCTTATTTTATAAGCGGCAATGAAAAGGCTTGCAACTCAAACACAAAGAAGGTCTAAGATCGTAATCTTCATGCAAATGACAAATTCATAAAACAGAAACAAGCTATTTAACTG